TTTATTTTTGTTTCCTTGGGAAAAGAGGTTGAGGAATAATATCATGTGTCTGAGACTGTCTTTCCTATTTGTTGATCATATGTATTAAGCTTGCAAAGGTTACTTGTGATTTACCTTAAGAATTCTGAATCAAATAGAGAGAAATGTATAAATAGAAAACACTGGAAATGGGTGTGGGAAAATGGAGTTGAGGAGGGTCAAAAGGAGTCAGCATTGGAACATAGATTCAGATATTCTAAGGGCCAAATGTTATTCCAACCTCATTGCATGGCATGTTTTAGACTAATAAAAAAAAAGAGGGAAAAATGTTAGTTATTTTCTTCTAGGGAAAAAGTAAAAGGGATTTAAGAGAATGTGTCTTATTCTCTAGCTCTGCATATATAGTTGAGATTTTTGAACATTTTTTCCTCATAGCTAAACAAACAGTAAGTGAGCAAAATGTAGACCTCTCTTAAGAGTGGCAGTGAAATGACATGATGCTTTATACATGAGCTATGCACAAAACATGCTAAGTTATGCTTGGCAAATAGTTTTTCTCAGTGATTTACTAGGGCCTTTTTTTGAAACTCATCAGCAACTCATTCTGAAGTTATCACGCTGTGATTAACGGCTGTGCCACTTCTCCCCTCAAAATTCATGAAAAAAGGCCGACTTACTACCTGTCTCGCCCATTCGTATGTGAGTTTCTCAGCTGACTGTATCGCTATCCTTCGTGCTGGGTTTGTAGGTTGCTGGGGCTGGGGGTGAGAACGCCTGCTGGGGCTGTCAGGGAGCCATCCCGTCAGGCTCTCCCAAGTGAGTCTGTTAAAACTGTCAACAAGGAAGAGCCATTAACTTTGAAGATAAACAGAGATGGACTCTTTCCCCTAATAGATCTAGAAATAGAAGCTGAAAAATAAGGGCCTAAGTAAGATAGAAAAGGGTTCCATTTGTTTTCTTTTCTTCCCTTTCATATTACTGTTCAGATTGTCACTTGAGACCTAAGCCTCAGAAATAAATCAAAGGAATTTCCTTTTAATGTGAATGTCTAAAATAGACGACAGGAGGGTAATTGAAGATTTGTGGATGTGGTTTTTCCTCATTTTTAGTTTATATTCTAAAAGAAATTTACTTTGGAGACAACGCACTTTAAAGACCCAATTATTACACGTATAGTTGAGTTTCACTGTCACAGACGTTGTTCTACAAAATTGCTACAAACACTGAATTAGTAAATACTGAAATCTGCTGTTGGTGGGGACAGATAGGCAGACAGATAAAGACATAGATATAGAGACATTTATAAAATATATATTTATATGATAATAATAATACAGATTATAGATTATAAATCCTAAAAACAACTCATCCTGTTAGATTCTAACTTTTTTATTTTACAGAAGAGAAAATGAGTTTTCAGAAGCGTTAAGTAATCTGCCTGAGGCTGCACTTAACAAGAGCCAAGATTTGGATTCATACCCTATCCAGCTGGCCCCAGCCAGAACTTCTTGCACTACAGACACACCGCCTACCAGCTCCCTCCTCTCATCCTCCCGGCATGAGAGCTGAAACAAAAGGCAGAGCATCACCTTGCTCAGCTTCAGCTGGGAAAGGGTGCGCAGGGCGGCTCGACTTTTTGTTGTTCCGCACATGTCTGCAAATGACCATGAAAGCGCCAAGGGTATTGACTTGGTGGTTCCAAATAAACTTTAGCACACACTAATAAAGAATAGCGGAATCTCTGAAATTCATTGTTTCCCTTCTTAGCATGTGAGTTATCTAAAGTCAGGGAAGATGTCATATGAATCTCTGGACACAGTGCCTATCACTGTGATGGCCACGTGGTCTGTAATTCAGTTTAAAATTTTCCATCATAGACAGTGGTGTGTGTGTAATTGAGAGGGAGAGAGAGAGAGAATTTTACTCTACATCACATGACAGTGCTGTAACTGGGAATACAAAATCCACAGGTGCTTGGATAGCATTTTAAAAACTCAAATCAAAAGCCCATATTCCAAAGGTGGTTATCACAAGTGCTTTGGCTATATTTAGTTCTGTTAAATATCCGTTTGTTAATTAGTATGATGAATGGGAGAAATCATTTAGCATCTGTGAGATAAGCAGAGTTCAAGGCACATGGACACACTGGAGATACTCCATCAGCAAAACTGGCCTTTTATTAACAAGTCTTTATATCGGTCCCAGATATTTAGGTTTCTGATTCATTTTCTGAGTAGCTGCATATCAGATAATTTTGTTGCCTGAGCTGAATGGAACTTTAGGTAATTCCTGCCTTTAGAATAGTGTTACAAACTCAAGGTACACTTCAGGCAAACTGATATCAAGATGCATAAAAGGAAAAATAATGGGACTGTTTAAGCATTACATTTGGGTCATCAAGGCCAAAATCATTTCTGCAGATCTATTCTCCCCCTCTTTGACTTGCCTTTTGGCTTTAGTAACAGTATCTTTTGAGGGGCAACCGTTGTGTTTTTACTTTTTACAAAGTTATACTTTTAAGTTTATGATTTGGGTGTGGTATTTTTCAAATACTTGTCAAAAATATCAAAATGTAGAAATTAAGAAATACAATTCCAGAAAATTATAAAAAGAGAGGTAACAGTAGAGGAAGAGAAGCTGGGTGAGGGGACGACAGCAAGCTAATGATTTTATCACATGTGGGAAGTGACTGCAGAAGCAGAGTAACTGTATAGCATTGGAAGAAAAGATAAGGCAGAACTGAAGCTAAGTAATTCTGTATACCTCTGTGTGTGTGTGTGTGTGTGTGCATGTGTGTGCACACGTGCGTGTCCTATCTCTGAGCTCAGAGTTTAGCTAAACCACTCCACAGTATTGCTGCTTCAGTATCCATTTTCTGTGGGCAAGAAGCCTGCAGGGATCTTTAAATGACAGGATCCCCTCCCTTGAGCACATGCCTTAGACAAGGGTCCACAGAGTCACAGGTGAATATCAGTTACTGATAAGACTCTCCCAAGGGCTTTTGTGACGAGCATCTCTCCCACCTCCCAAGGTCTTTCTCTTGTGGGCCCCTTAGGTAAGAGCCCCTCCAAGCTTACCAAAATTCTACTCTTTTTGGTTTGAATTAGCCATTCTGTCCTTAGCCCGGGAATCCCGAAGCCCTTCACCAGTGAATGCTAATCAAGGCATTTGTCCAGGTCCTGCTACACTCTCTCTGCCTGCCCTCTGCCCTGATCTCACCGGGTGGCCCTTGGAGACCTGCCTTGTACATACCTCAGGGCCTGTGACTAATAAATATTTCTCTGTTCCAGCTACCTTTGTCGTCTTTTGTTGAACGACATCTCATTTTCCAATATCCCGGGATGCTGCTTAACAGATGTTCCTTTAACAAAGTCCTAACGCTCCATTTAATAGTCTTGGCACCTTTGTCAAGAATTACTTGACCATTATAATCATCTTGAAATGAGACAGTATGAGACAACCACTTTGCTATTATTTTTCAAAGTTCTCCTGACTATTCCAAACTTTTTTTCTCATATAAGTTCAGAATTAGTTTACCAATGTCTAAATAAATAGTGACTTGGAATTTAGATTGGCATCTAAGTACAGATCAAAATGGGCTGTTGATCTAAACATTTGAGTGTTCCAATCCATGCACATGGTCGATGCCCACATTAGTTTAAGTCTTTGTTTATCTTTAGAACTGAGATGAGTTTCCTGGAGGCAGCATTTGGTCAGGTCTTGTTTTTTAATACATTCAGCCACTCTGTGTCTTTGATGGGTGAATCCCAATCTGTTTACATTTGAGGTGATTGTTGATAGATGAGGACTGTAATTTTATCTTTTGTTTTCTGGTTGCTCTATGTCTCCTTTGTTTATTTTTCCTTGTATTTCTGTCTGCTATTTTGGTTTAGTGGTCTTCTATGATGTTTTACTCAGTTTTCTCATTTTTTTTTATCTTTTGTGGTTAGAATGAGGTTTATATGAAAGCTTTCATAGACAAAACAGTCCTTTTTCATCTGATACTATCTCCTTTTCATTTACCTGTATGTGTCCCATCCTTTTCTCCTTCCTCTTTAGTGTTTTATTCTCTCAAATCATCCCTTTTTATGTTGTGATTATTACCAAAATGACGTAGCTATAGTAATTTTTTCTGCTACCCTCTTTTAAGCACTGGTTTTAATAAAGTGTTTAAAAATCTATTCTGATAAAGAGCTGCAATTTCCTAATTTGGTCTCAAAGTTCTGTACATTTTTGTCTTTTCATTTCTGGTAGAGGGGATCCTTTCAACACTTCTCATAAGACAGTTCTAGTGGTGGTGAACTCCCTCAGCTTTTGTTTGTCTGGGAAAGCTTTTATTTCTTCTGCATATCTCAGTGATAACTTTGCTGGATAGAGGATACTTGGGTGACAGTTTTTATCTTTTAGTATTTTGAGAAGTTCATTCTACTCGTTACTGGCCTAAAAAGTTTCTTCTGAGAAATCTGCCCATAGTCTAATGGGGGTTCTTTTGTAGGTTACCATCCTTCCCTACCTGGATGCCTTTAGAATTCTTTCTTCGTCATTGACTTCTGATAGTTTTAAAATAATGTGTCTTAGAGAAGGTCTTTTTGCACTGAGGTATTCAGGTGGTCTCTTAGACTAATGGATTTGTATACACTGTGCCTTCCCAGGCAGGGAAAGTTCTCAGCTATTCTTCTTTCAATAAACTTTCTACTCCCTTCTTCTTCTCCTCTCCCTCTGAGATACTCATTATTTTAACTTTACCCTTCCTAAAAGAGTTGGATAACTCCTGTAGAATCTACTCATTTTTAAAAATATCTTATTTCTTCCTCTTCTACTTGCATCATTTTGGCATTTCTATATTTAAGCTTGCTAATTCTCTCTTCCATATGGTCTGCTCTATTTCCAATGCTTTCTAATGCGTTGTTTATCTCATTTATTGAGTTCTTCAGCTCTGGAGTTCTGTTTGGTTCATTTTTAAAGTTTTATTTAATCTCTCTGGTAAAGCATTCATTCTGTTTATGAGCTTTATTTCTGGGGTCACTGAACTGCCTTTCTGAGTTTTCTTTTAACTCACTGAGTTTCTTCATGATAGCGATTGTGAATTCTCCATCAGTTTGATCACAAGATTCCACGACTTTCTGTTTGTTTCTGGAGAAGAGTCATTTTCTTTTTGTGATGCTGTGTTCCTCTGGTTCTTTCTGGCGCCTGAAGAGTTGTTCCTCCGCTGGCACATTTCAGGTAGCAAACATATTGTTGCTTGAGTCGCATGATTCAACAGATTATAAATTAGAGGCCTTTCTTTTACTTTCCAGTAGATGGTGATACAGCACAAATTTTTGGTTTATTTAGCCTAAGCTGCCTCTTGTTTATATTTGAGAGTCCTCACTTTCCACCCTGCACTGCCTGTCAGAGGTGTGGCCCCACGCCCTAGTCATCACTGCGTGGCCCCTGGGGTCCCCGGTGCATTGTTGCTGCCAGTGCGGCTGGTGTCACCACCTGGCGCACCGGGATTGTGGGTTCATCCTTTGTGTCCATGATCCCCTGAGTTATAGGCTCCGGCTCCCTATGGGGGAGGGAAGGAAGAGGTTTGGGAAAAGCCAGTCACAAGTGTGCTTCTGTTGCCCGCTTACTTGTGACGGTGAGCGTCACTGCTGACAGGAGACCAGAGTCTACCACCTTCCCTACCACTCCCGGGCTCTCTGAGGCTGTGGGTTCAGAGGCTGCAGCCAGAAGGCCAGGATTGCAGGCACAGCCCAGCCATTCCCTTGTTTTTGGCTCCTATATGTGTTCCAGTCCATTCACCTTCAGATGTACAGACATGTGGAATTCTCCAGTGCCCTGGGGTTGGGCAGATGCATCTTTGTTGCACAGCGGATGTTTTACTGGTTGTAAATTGAAGGGGAGAGGCAAAGGGAATTTTTACTGCACCACAATGCTGACATCAACCTAACTCACTTTATAAAGCTTGTATAAATTTGATTCTGAAAGCACGTGAGGATAGAGTAAGAAAATTTGAAATTAAATTACTTAGAGATACTGATGTAAATACTAAATATACAAAATATGAATCAAGCCAAATAAAACAAAATATAGTACCACAAAAAAGGCTTATGTTAATAATACCAACATGGATTAACGCTGAAAAAAAATTTTTTTTCTTGGTTTTTGGCATTCATGATATATTTTATTTGCAAGCTCTCAGTGAATTAAGGTTTCATGTTTAAAATCATCAATCCTATAAGTCCAGCTTTTGAAAGTTGCTCTTACAAATGGGACCTTCAGAGTTGGCTTCTTTTCTCCTCAGTCACATTTTTCCAGTTTTATTGAGGTATAATTGAAAAATAAATGTATGTTTAACATAAAATCAGATGAATAGTACTATAAATAAAGATTATTTTTAGAGTTTGGCATATATTAGATCAATCATATATTAAAACATGTATGTGCATGTGTATATGTGTGTGTGTGTGTGTGTGTGTGTAAGTTGTGACTAGAAGGTCAATCTCTTAGTTGGGTAAAGGTTATCTTCAAAGAATTCCACAGCAGAATCACTTTTAATGGTGAAATATTTTTAAGTGGTAACATTAAATCAGGAATAATACAAGAGAAACTGCAAGTTTTGAGCCCTACCAAAAAAGTAAGCAGATGAGGAGGAGCCAAGATGGAGGAGTAGAGAGACTCAGTTTACCCTCTCCCACAAATACACCAAGAATTACATCTACAAACCCACTGAATCACACAGAACACCTACTGTACTCTGGTGGAGTGTCTCTTGTTTTGAAATACAGGAGGATTCTCACAAAATCTAGTAAAAAAAAAAAAGAAAAAGGAAAAGAAAAAGAAAAAGAAAAAGAAAAAGAAAAAGAAAAAGAAAAAAATCAGTGCAGGACCAGTCCTGCAGGGAAGGAGCAACATTGGAAGAAAGGCACCCTTGTGCTGGGACGTCCCTTCTCCAGCCAAGAGGTCAGCGGGGACAGAAGTAGAGCTTCCAAGGCTTGGAGGAGAAAGTGGCAACCACTTTGAAGACAGAACTAAGTGAAATTGACACAGAGGGTCCCTGCGATCCCTGGCTCTAGACATGAGCCAGCAGGGACAAGCCAGGACTGGCTTCAGGAGATTGGTGAGGAGCCCAGGCAGACAGCTGGGTCCCATGGCGCAGAGGCAGCCTCATGGGACTGGAGAGCAGTGTGATCTCTGGCTGGGGGTGTGTGCAGATCAGAACAGCCTGGAACCCCCACAAAAAAGCACCACCGTAGGTGTGTGCTGGGGAGGAGGCAATGCAGCCTCACCATAGCCGCTTTATCCACTTGGTCCATTGTGGGTGTTCTTGCAAGAAGAGAGGTGGGGCTTGGTCATAGCCATCAGTGCTGCACAGAAGCAGGGCTGAAAGCTGAATCCACACCCAGAGATCCTGCAACTTCACTGGACTGAGATTTGTTTATAACCCCAGGCAGAGAGGGCAGATTTGCTCTCTCTAGACCCTTTGTGGACCTGCACATCTGGGACAAGCAGGCAGTGAGTGGAGTTCTGACTCACACTGGGGACATGTATGGGTATTTACAAATAGCCAGGATACCGTACTCATATGTGGAGGCGGGGCTGGGGTCTGGGCTCACTGTGGCACACCACAGATTCAGGTGTGTGACAGCACACTTGCTATGCCAGATCCTAGCACCCGATATTGGTGGATCTGCACTGGTGGCTCCTGGGGCTCAGATCCTGGGGGCACCAGAGTAGGTGCCTGACATTCCCATAGCTAAGGTGGGGACAAATGCAGTGTCAACAGAGAGTACTTTGTAAGCCCACATAACAAGTGACAGACACCACCACAGGGGGTGCTGCCCAGAGGACACCTGCCTACTCTTCTTCCCAGCTGGAGTGCTCCAACCCTGCCTACCACACACCATAGCTCAGAAACAGGTCTAGAAGCCTCTATTCCAGCATAAGGGGAGCATACCAGGTCTCTATCAGAGATGTGACAACTACAGAACAAAAAAGGAGGCCTGACTCAACAACAAACAGGGCAGGTTCTGATCACCACACCCCCAACCACACCCCCAATCAAAGGGCTAACAGCCAACACTCATGGAAGAAAGACTTGGCAACCATCCATACCAAGGACAACCACTGCAAAAAAAAAAAAAAACTATTAGATGCACACAGTCTTCACAGGAGTGTTCTCACTCTAAATAAAAAGAAACAAACAAAAAATAAATCAGCCCTTCAGGACCACAGTAGATAACTGATATTCTTAAATCCATAAAGCCAGAGACCTATAAGTAAAATAAAGAAGCAGAAGAACCACTCCCAATTAAAAGAACAATAGAAATCCCCTGAAAGAACAATCAATGAAATAGAACACAATAATACACTAAATCATGACTTCAAAAATAATACATTAAAAATGAAATTGAAACTTTAAAGAAGAGCGATTAAAACAGAAAACTCAACTGATGAGATAGGAGCTGCTAAAGGAGATCAAAATAGAATCAGCAATAAAAAATCTCTCTGCAAACAAAAGTCCAGGACCAGATGGCTTCACTGATTCCATCAAATATACAAAGAAGAGTTCATACCAATCCTTCTCAAGTTCTTCCAAAAGACTGAAGAGGAAGGAACACTCCTCAACTCATTCTATGAAACCACCATCACCCTGAAACCAAAGCCAGACAAAGAGATTAAAGCTATAGGCCAGTATTGTTGATGAACATAGATGAAAAAATCCTCAACAAAATATTAGGAAACAGAATCCAACAACACATAAAAAATATCATACACCATGATCAAGTTGGGTTCATCCCAGGGACATAAGGATCATTCAACTTATGCAAATTGATCAATGTGATACACCACATCCACAAGAGAAAGAACAAAAATCACATGCTTATCTCAATAGATGCAGAAAAAGCATTTGATAAAATTCAACACAAAATTCAACACACA